GAATGTCGGGGCATGGTCTTTGTATGTGCCAACATGACTATTTTGAATGGAGTTATCTACAAATTAGAGCTACATTTTTAGCAATTTGATTAACTTTTTAGATAAGTTTATCATACTACGGAACCCAGCACAAAAATAGATAAAAGATCATCCACATAACTTATTTTCTTGATATTTTTTTAGGTTTAATTGATATACACTGATATTTTATACTGTCATCAAATAAAAAATTAACAGTTTTTTAAGTTATTAAATTTTTTTAAAAATATCAATTAATATAATAGAATTTACGATTGTCATTGGTTGACAGTATAAAAATATTTTATACTGGTAATGTATTATCCATTTTCTCATATTTTTTATGTGACCCTGTTTAATTTATATTTTTTTTTATTAATTAAATTTTGTTTGTTTGGTGTTTTAAACTAGGGTTAAATACATGTAGTTCTGTTAAAATTTTCAAATTTTGTTTTTTAATTTTTCAATTTTTTTTTTAAAACATGATTTTTTAAACATTTTATTATCGACAATTTTCATAACTTAGCGATTAAATTAACGATAATTTTAAAGACAATTTATTATTTAGCTTTTGAATTAACGACAAGTTCAACGAAAAATTTTAGGAGAATTATTTCTTAAAAAAATATTTTAAAAAACTAAAATACAATTTAAAATATTTAAGAAAATCACAAATATATTTAACTCTTTAAACTATATCCCTATTTTACACTTTTTATATATACTAGTAAAAGTTAAATATAATTTTTTTATTAAGAATTAATATTCTATAAATAGCAATAACTTTTTTTAATATATATAACACAACTTATGCTCCCTTTGATCTTAAATATAAATAACTATAAAATTTTCAATAATCTTAAATATAAATAAAATGATTACTACATTTAATCTCACTATTTCAAATATATTTCTTTTTTTCACATTTTTTATACTTTTAACTATTTCTAAAATAAAAATAAAGATAAAATTAAAAAAAATGTAAAAGCTAAATGCATTCAGACTTTTCTTTAAATGATGGACTCTTTTATAAATACTTTATTATATGAGATTGAAGTTTTATCTTATGCAAAGAAGTCCCTGCAATAAATAAATCTTTGGTCTAAACAAAGAGTAATGCTAACCTCACATGTTAAAAAACCTACCATTAAAAAATTTATTCTGAAAAAATAATCAAAAAATTTAATTTATATGCTTATAAGAAGTTTAATACACATTTTTCAAAATAATTATTTTTATTCACTTCTTAACATTTTACATTACACATAAATAAATAAATAAATAAATAAACTTTTGTATATATTCTAACTTCAAAGTAACTCTACAATTGGTCAATACTATATGCAAATTTCACATTTTTAGTTTCGTTGAATAATGAATATATCTAATTTATATAAAGATCAGATTCATTAATTATTCAATAAATTCAAAAATATAAAATTTATTTATAATATAAAATGGAGGGAGTAATATATTGATATTAATTATAATTATGTCCTCCATTTGTCTCACATATTATAAGTGACTCCGTCTTACAATAAGTTTCACATTTTTTAAAACAATAATTAATATATTAATTTTAATAATAAAATAAATATTATTAATTAATATAATAATAGATAGTGGAATAGTTATTTGAATTAAAATATAATAAATAAAGATAAGTTAATAAAAAATAAATAATAAATATCACGTTAATATTCTAAAAGAATAAATAATTTAAAACAAATAAAAAAAAGATGACACCTATTTAAAACAAAAGTAGTATTTATCAGTAAAAAAAACACAAAATTAAATTAAAGTTAAAAAACAAAAATTAGTAAAGGCTTAATTTAAATCAAAATAAATTCTCTAAATTATTTGAAATGACATGACAAGTTATAACTATTTTTTATAAGCAAATTTTGAATTAAAATGAAAGAGTACTAGTAGTACTCAACCCTTACAAGAGGATGTCAATACAAATGAAAAAGTTGAATAAAAAAACTAAGTGAGAAACTCAATCGAATTTACTAGACAAACTAACGTATTGGCGCACCAATCGGCTCAACACCAAGCATCTGCACCTTTGTTTCTAGCTATGAACCAGTCTCAAGCCAACACTTTGGCCCTATCCACTCAATCATATACCCGATTGGAAGCACCTTTGAACATCATTTCGTTCCTACAAGTTCAAATCGCCCAACAAAATGCTAACCAAACTATAAGCCGAAGCTTTTTATTCACTCAACCTTTAAGAGAAGAGGCTAAAGAAGTATGTGCCCGAAAAATCCAACTGGGGTGAAAAGAAATGTCTAGCTAAAGATAGATCTTCTCCCAAACTCTAAACATCATCCTACATTCAACGAAAAGATGAGAAATAGATTCATCATCAACCAAACAACAAACAAAGCAAATTGTTGTTTCCATGAATGATTCCTCTGTTAGCTAATGCTACTCTAGTAGGCAAACGATTCAGCAGTAACCTCCAACCAAATATAAGAATCTTGCTTGGCGCGTTCGTGAAGTCAAAGATTGTTTCAAGAACTTGATAACAATTTTTAACCGAGAAACCTAACTTGTTCCTCCACCATACACCTCCTTAAACAATTTCACCTGCACCTCCTGCAACATAGTAAACAAAGAGTCCAAGCTCACTCCTTCTTCCTCCTGCAACTCAGAACTGTCAATCAACTTTACTTCCCAAATCCATCTATTATCCACCCACTTCCCTATTTTTGCCACTTTATGGTATCGTTGTACAACTCGAGCGAAAATGAGAGGAAACATATTTCTAATTGCAGCTGGTCCCAACCATTTGTTTTTCCAAAAATCAAGAGAAAACCCATTACCCAATTTGCACGGATTGTTAGAAGAAAACCAATTTGAATCTTCCTTCTCAATTGGACGTACTAGAGCCAAATTTCTCCACCATAACGAATCAAATTTATTGGCCTCCAACCTATCTACACCAATAATCTTTGCTTTGATATCCTTATATCTTATAGATAGCAGACCCGACCAAAGAGCATTTGGGCTCATTGAGAATGTGTCATTTTCACTTACATAATAAGAAGATATTAAACATCTCAAAATGTTTAATTTTTAACCCTCATTGAGACTTCAGTTTACATAAAATTGACCAACTAATCCAAGCCATTTTCCTTTTCTCCGCAATACCACCCCATAAGAAATCGCGTTGGATCCGAGTAATTTATTGTATAACATATTTTGGAGCTTTGTAAAAAGAGAATATGTAAATTGGGATAGAATTAAAATCATAATTTAAAAGCGTCACACGCCTTCCTAAAGAGAGAAATTCCCCCTCCCACTTTAACAAACAATTCCTAAGCTTACTCAAATATTCCTGGTAAAAAGCCTTCTCGGATTTTCTCCTACAAATATGCCTAAAAACAGAAAAGGAATAATACTGACACCACACGCCAAGAAGATCGGAGCCGCTTCTAGAAAACCTTGCTTGAAGTTAAGACCAATAACTTTGCTTTTGATGAAGTTAACACACAACCCCGACGCTAATTCGAATCCTCTCAAAACTGCTTTTACATCCTAAAGGTTATGCCATGTTCTTTCTCCTACAATTTTCGTGTCTTCCGCAAATTGTAATAAATTGAACCTAACTTCATTCGAGACTTTGAAAGTTTGAAACATCCCCTGCATCGTTGCATTCTGCACTAACCCATTCAGACCTTCAGCAACGATCAGGAACTAGAAAGTCGAGAAAGGATTGCCTTGATGCAAACCCCTTTCTGCCTAAAATCTTTTGTTCGGCTACTGATAACCAAAATCAACATCAAACTATAGAAAACACGGGCTTCCATCCACCTCATCCATTGATGATCAAATCTCATTCTTCACATTACATCTCCTAGATACTCCTACACAATGCAGTTGTATGCCTTTTCGAAGGCAACCTTAAACATCAAACACTTTTTCTTCTTCCGTTTAGCAAAATCCACCACCTCATTAATAACGAAAACGCCATCAAACATTTGCCTACCCTGAATGAAAACAGATTAAGACGACGAAATCAAACTGCCGATTGCCTTTTTTATTCTATTCATCGGCAATTTCGCCAAAATGCGGTACATGCAACCAATGAGACATATATGACGAAACCCGTTTAAATCTTTGGATTACTTGATTTTGAAATAAGAGCAATTCTCGAAAATAATTATTTAGTACAAACTGAAAAAGAAAATTAAAGACAAATTGATAATAATAATAATAATAATAATAATAATAATAATAATAATAATAATAATAATAATAATAATAATAATAATAATAATAATAATAATAATAATAATATCTAATAATTTTTAATATAGCTTTTTTTTACGGAATAAGTTTAGTATTTTAAAATGTGATTTTTAGTTGAAAAATGAAAAAGAAACGAGGTTAAAGTTTAATTCCTTCTAAAAGAGCATTCACCTTGGTGATTACATACGTGTTCCACTACTAATTAAGAGCTTCCTATTTGTTTGTCCAAATCAAGGTTTAAGATATCTTGGTGCTTCTTATTCACACTCCATATTTCTTCATTAGGAATTCTAAAAAGATCCATCATATCCACTAGTGCTACTTACCCTTAGTAATCAAATTCATTTTTTATATTTATTTTATTTCATCTTTCTATAATAATTATATAATTTTATTATATTAGTTTATATGAAGAAAAAAAATGTATCCAGTAAATTTTAAATTAATAGTGTGATTAATAAATTTTTTATGACAGAATAAAATTATTTTACAGTGTCAATTGTCAATGCATACTCATTAAACTTAAAAAAAAAAAACATATATTAAATATTTGATATTTTAGAAAGTGGGATCATATTTTCCATGCCTAATGATACTTCCCAAGTTAAACCTTCATTCATGAATCTCCACTCACATTCCATAGTATAAATAGAGGTTCCCCAAGAGAATGACTTAGTCATAGATAGTCCAAGAGAAAAACAAAAGAGGTGAATAAAAACAAAATGGAATCAAATCATGTAATATCCATTACAAATGAAGAAGAAAACAACAACACCAATATAACTCAAATGAAGAAAAATAAAACCAATATCTCCATTGTTCCAATTAGTTCCTATCCAAGTGACAACAAAAATAATAATAAGCAGAAAAAAAGTGAGCAAGACATCAAGAAGATGATCCATAGCACCAAAGTCGGAATCTCACTTCTTTTGGTTTCTCTTCTTTATATTTTGAATCCTCTTTTTGATCAAGTTGGTGAAAATGCAATGTGGGCTATTATGACTGTTGTTGTCATCTTTGAATTCAATGCAGGTATCATCATATTATTATTTACATGTAAATATATATAGTAATGTGATGCATGCATATTAATTAATCATGTTATATTTCTTAGGAGCTACACTTGGAAAAGGGTTCAACCGTGGAATAGGAACTATTGTAGGAGGAGGGTTAGGATGTTTAGCTGCAATATTGGCACAAAAAATTGGAGGAGTTGGTAACTCAATATTCATTGGATCTTCAGTGTATATTCTTGGTAAGTTTATGATAAATAAATAAATAGAATATTTTATAAGTGCATGTGAATATTAATATATATGTGAACGATGATGATATTGTAGGATCATGTGCTACATATTTTCGATTTGTTCCAAGAATAAAGAAGAGATATGATTATGGAGTAGTGGTGTTTATGTTAACATTTAACCTAGTTGTGGTATCTGGAGCAAGACCTGGGTTTAAAGTTTGGGAGATAGCAAGAGAACGTTTGTTGAATATTTTGATGGGTTTCATTGTTGCGATTTGTGTGAGTTTGTTCGTTTTTCCTACGTGGGCTAGTGATGAACTTCATGATTCTGTTGTCGAAAGGTTTCATCATCTTGCAAGTACCATTCAAGGTATAGTGTTATATTTATATATGATATATAGTTTATTATGGTTTTAGTATATGTTTTTTGACATGTGGAAAATAATTATAATTTTGTGACTAAATATGTGGTCCTTGTATTGATCAAAAGAGGCATAAACAACAATTAGTTTAATGTGCTTGGAATATAAAAAATAAAAAATAAAATGTTTATACATATATTCAACTATATCTTAGCATGACGTCATATCTAAATCATTTTGTCAATGTCTATTTTATTGACTGCATAAAAAATGAGTATATAATGAGTGTGATTAAATGATGGTTAAAGGTGTATTTGGAATTTTTAATATAGATTTAAGCCATATATGGTTCAGATGGTTTGAATAACTTTTCAAAAAACATGATTTGATCTAATTAAATAGAGAATAAATTTGATTGATTTTTGGTTGATTAAATTTACAATGATAATATTTTTATTAACATTAATATTTAAAAGATAGTAAAATAATTGTAGAAAATAACATATATATGATAAATTAAATTAAGAAGTGTTATTATAAAAAAGTTATTACTAATAATATTAAGTATTTGAAAAATTAAAAATATATTAAATTAAACTAATGAATCTTTTTACTAAATCAAAATAATAAATATTATTATAAAGTGTTTTGTAAAAAAAGTTATAATATCTTATAATAATAATAAAAAATATTTATATACGTAGTTTGTTCAGTTTTAGGAAATAAATCATAAATTCAGTTTTAAGGATTATTCTAACTTTTAAATCAATTTTTAAAATTTTTTTTCAAATTTTTAAATCATTTTATTTTTTATTTTAAATTGGATTAAATAGAATTAAGTTTTACTCAATATAGAATGTTAGAATATGTATTTTTTAAAATTTTAATATTTATTTTGTTATACTTCCCCAAATATAAGCACCTAAATATTTTAACAAAGAAGCTCATTGTTTTTTAATTTAGGTTATTTAGAGGAATGTTCAAAATCAGTCAAAGAAAAGGAAAATCAACCAGATACCAGCTTCACAGTTTGCAAGTCAGTGTTGAACTCCAAGTCAAAAGATGAATCATTGGTAATTAATAGATTAGTTAAATTATTTTATTTAAATTATGATTATAATTTATTGTCAAGAATGGAATCAAATATTACTTTGTTTTTTGCAGGCAAATTTTGCAAAATGGGAACCTTGGCATGGAAAATTTGGATTTTCCTACCCATGGGAAAAGTACTTAAAGATTGGAGAAGTTCTTCGAGAACTAGCTGCACTTATTATTGCATTGCAATGTTGCATCCATGCCTCAAAAAAGGTATCTATTTATTCATTTATTTCACATTCAATTTAAGTTTAAATATTTATGGTAAATAATATGCATGCAAAAAGACAAAAAATGTTGGGCTAATTAATCCTTTTTTTGGTGTGTTAAGCCCACAGCATCTTTGAAGCAGTGTGAAACAATTGGGTCAAAGGTTGTATGGACTCTACGAGAAGTTGGAGATAGCATGAAACAAATGAGAAAATGTGAAGAAAGGGACAACATTATAGCTAAGTTGAAAACAACTAGAGAAGAGTTGAGTTTGGTCATTTCAACTTCCATGATTGAAGAATTTGAGAATGATGAAAGGCTAGCAATTGCTAGTTTGGTGTTTTTGCTTATGGAAGTGGTGGAGAAGGTAGGTGAATTGGTTATTGAGGTTGGAGAACTTCAAGATGGAGCAGGTTTTCGCACCCGAGTAACTTTGGTGTCTATGTAAATGCATTATAAAATCGGCCATAAAGAATCTAAGTACTTTGATGCATCAAAAAAGCGACCTTAGAGGATTTGGGTTTATAGGTGCATTATAAAATCGGTCGTAGAGAATTTGAGTTTATAGGTGCATCATAAAATCGGCCTCAGAGGATTTGGATTCGTAGATACATTAAAAAATCGACCATAGAAATTTTGGGTTTGTAAATGCATCATAAAATCGGTCGTAAAAGATTCAGGTAATATATAGATATAAAGTTATTTTTAACGACTCATCATTTTAGATCATAAAATAGAAATGGAATGAGCTTGATTGTATTCCTATCCAAATGTTAAGTAATAGACTTAAATGTCTTTGTACCATGGTAATGAAAAAATAAATAAAAATAATATCAGGATCTTGTTTTACTTTTTTTCATTAGTTAAATTAACTAAATTTTATTCTAGGTAAATAATTGAAAAGTCGTGGGTTCGCACTCGCGCAACTAAAAGTATACACAGCCACAAGTAAGGTGCTTTAATGGGACTATTAGAACATCTCCAATGCATGTTATTTAGGGGTGGCAACGAGTATTTTCGTTCCGTTTAGGTTCACTCCACAAAAAATAGATAGGGTGAGCATAAATGAGGATATGGGTTTAAAATTTTAGTTCATCTCGAAAAAAAGAGGGTGGGATATAGCAAGTCTGTAGACATTGCACCTTTTAAATTTAAAATGCAAAATTTTATATTAATGTCTATGATTGTAAAAAAAAAATTTAAAAAAAAAAAGCAAGTAAGATGGAACAAACACATCTTTCACATCAGAAGATGCAAGTCTATAACCTTCATCCTTTCTGCAAAAGTGCGGACAAAATAATCATGCTTGATAGATGGAACCTATTTTTTTTTACCTTAATGTTACTTAGTGATTTATAAGTATTACTTATTATCAGATCCAAGGTTTTGATATACCACATTAATTTAAAGTTTATATTCACTTTTAAAAGATGCGGCTGTTTTTTTAATTGAAAGATCTAAAAACTATAATATTTATTACAAATAAAATTTACTAATGTCATTTTCTAGCGGAATAAAAACGCACTCCATATTTTTAGCCCGCGTCAAACTTAATTAATTGGACAAATTGAAATATTTTATTTTACTTTTAAATAAATTACAAATTCAATAAAAATCCAATTTTTATTTCCGCGCCTATGTATAGTGTCACATTAACCTCGCTTCATTTATTAAAATGTATTGTACCTAAATTGTTGATTAGTAAGAAGTCAACTTCTATAATCAACAACACAAAAGTAAACCAAACAACAAATTAAAAATTGAAAAAATATATATAAATATACCATTATTTTGCCAATAATTGACTCAATAGATCACTTCCTAAATTTTCTCAAAATTAAATGATAAAAAACAATAGAATCAAAATAAATAAACACATATATTCCCACACAAAAAAATACATTATTCCACTCACGCACACGCGTGCGCACACACCCACATCCACACACAAAATTCATCTCATAGCAATGGAAAAATAATTCATCACTAATGCACCACATTAAAATGTACATGTTATGTCATGATGATGATAAAATGTAAACATGTCAAAAAGGCAAAATTTGTCACTTATGCAATAATACAATCCAAATAATCAAATGTCATGCACATGGCTAATATTAATGTTGACACTTAAAACATCTCCAATAAGGCAACCCTTCTTTGAGTTTTTTATGAAACCCTTTAAGCCACATCATCTTCAACCAACTCATTCAATTTTTTCTCCATTAGTACAACTTAAAAAAATTTATATTGGATCCCACAATTTTATCTCACGTATTAATATTTTATTTGTATTAAACTTTATTGAAATTTAAAATATTTATTTTAATATATTAATTAATATTAATATAAAGTAAAAATAATAATAAATATGTGTCATAATACTATTATAATCATGAACAAATTAAATGTATAAATAAAATTAACATATTGATATTATAAAGTTATGGTACTTCACGGAAGGTAGAAAGGTGATTTTCGACTTCGGAGATGCTTTTATCGGTGCGAAGGCCGGTGAATTATAGATAGCGGAAACGGCTTTCGAGACGGTAGAAACGATTTTGGCATGAAAGAAGGCGATTTCTGACACATTACAACCAACGCGGTTTTTCACAGGCTTCAAGGGTGGTGCCTTCACTGAGGAGGTTTAAACTCTTAATCATCGAATTAGGGACCAACTCGGCTGGAACACAGTTGATTGAAACTTGTAAAACTGTTAATTGAAGGCATCCTTGAGGGATTCTGATGAATCAAGATTCATTAGAGTTTGCTACTGCAAACCCAACACAGCAAGAGGAGGAAGACGATATAACACTTTGCAACACAAAGAAAATAAAGGACCGAAAAATGATAGATCTCACAGAGACGATTTTATGTCACCGAAAAAAGGAGAAAGGAGCTCAAGAAGTTCAAGAAATGGGCAAAGAGAACGTACAAGGGAAAATATCATATAATAACATGGTGACGGGGGAAACCACATAAAAGGAAGCGGAACCAATGGAATTCATAAGAAGCAATGAGACCATGGAAGAGGGAGAAATTGACGAAAAAGGAATAAAAATTGAAGAACATATGATTGAGGATTACGAATTCCCGAAGTTTATCTTATTTATCTTGGAAGAACAACGAATGTGAAACTGTGGGAGAGAGGAGTAATCATCAAGAAGATGGGCAGACACATAGGGTATAAGGCGTTGGAAAATAGGCTACAACTGATCTGGGAAAGAAGAGACGTGCTTAGCATCATTGATTTAGGATAGGAATACTACTTTTTTGTACAGAATATAGGAATACTACTTAGTCACCTTCGCTTGCGAAGAAGATCAGAACTATACGCTAATGGAAGGGCATTGGCTAATCTATAATGACTATCTCACTGTACACAAATGGAGCCCTAATATTTGTCCTTCAAGTGATGTTGTGGAACAAATTGTTATTTGGTTGAGAATCTCAGATCTTATTATTAAATACTATGATCATAGAATGCATAATGTTATAGGAAATATAATAGAAAATCTGTGAAGGTTAACAAGTATACGCTTACAAGAGAAAGAGGAAAACATGCTAGGTTGTGCATTCAAATGGACTTAACCTAACCTATTTTAGTTATGTTCATTATTAAAGGGATTTGCTGTGAGGTTGAGTATGAAGCTATGCACATGTTATGATTAATTTGTGGCAAGTTTGGACACTGTGCTAAAGGATGTCCAAGCAAAAATAAAGAAGGTGACGTGAAAAAGAGAGAAGAAGTCTCTGGAAAAAAGAGTCTAGAGAACAACACATAGGTACTCAGGAGAAAGGAATTAGGTCATGAACTATAGTTCAAAATCCAAAGAGAGCCAACGAAAGTAAATATGAAGTCGAGAAGAAGGCGTAAACATTAAGGGGGAAAGGAGATAAGGTGATATTAGGCAAGCAAAAACTAAAGTTAAGGTTCATGGTGTTAATGGAAGAGGAAGTTGTTGAAGAAATAAAGGAGAAATTACAAAGGGAATGGGAGGAACAAGCTAATGAGATAGGAAGCAAGGAAAAAGAAGAGGACAAAGAAATAAAATATAATATGAGAAAGCAACAAGTGGCCAAGAAAAATAAGGGGACAAAAAGAAAGAAAAAAATGAGAGGCACCAAAAATAATTTGTCATTGCATCACAGGGTATTCACAAAGAAAAGGAAACCGAAATCACAAGTGGAAAAACCAAGGTTAATCTGGAGAGAATTATGGCAGAAGGAGAAGATGTAGAGATGTATAATGGGATTAACGTAGACAACATATCAAGGTCAACAAAATACTCAAAGTGTTGAAGATTTCCATCCCCAAAGTCACAACCTAGCTCAGCTGGGCCCAAAGAGGATAAGGGCACAGAGATATATACAAATGGCTTAAAATCCTACTCAAACCAAACTTTTAAAAGAGCAACCTATTATGTGGAATGCCTATGAGTCAAACATATCTCAAAATTGGAGGAAAGAAGATAAAAATGAAAAGCACGGTGAAACAAATATGGAGACGGTGGCCGAAACGCCAATTAGCAAATAAAGGATTACAACAACCACATAATAATTGTTATAGATTTTGCTCATTTAAAAATTATGTTCTGAAATTGCAGAGGAGTGTGCAACAAAGCTTTATATCGAGTTTGTAACATGTACATGCAAGACAAGAAACCAAACATCTTAGTTATTATGGAAACTAGTTTGGATCCAAGCAAACTTAATAAAGCTTTCAATACATTAGGTTTTACTAGGTTTGTGTTTTTTGACTCTAAAGGCTTTAGAGGTGGTATCGCTATGGGTTGGAAGGTCGACAAGGTTCAAGTTCAAATTTTCCTTGAAAAAAGGCTTTGGAAACTTCAAACCTCTCATTTCTAGCCGGCTCTTTATAGTGAATCTTTAGGTGTTGTATCATGTCTAATGCTTCCATGTTTCCATGTTGCTTTTGCATTTCAGAGTTCATGGAAGCCAGCATGAGGAAGACATTTTTTGAGGCATCATTAAAATAAGCATCTCTTTTAGCCCTATGAGAAGAACTAGAATGCTCCTCATAAGGAACATATGTCTCTAAGACATATAATTTTTTCCTCATGTTTGAGGACAATCCTCAAGTTTCGGTGTTAGTCCAGAAAATTCGTCCCAACCAATTTTCTTTGTTAAGGTTTGATCCTAAAATGTCATTTGAAGTGTTTGTTGACATGGTAATATACATAAAAAAGTGTGAAGATATAAGTATCATTAAATAAATTATATTCAATTAGGCATTTGATTAAATATGCTTCCACTATTTTACTCAAAGTGAATAACCTTCAACATTTGATTCAAAAAGTCTCTTTGGAAAATTATCTAGTGGATCGAGATCCATATTTCACTTTGTTTTAAGTAAATTGATAACGAGAAAACGCATCGATTATATCGCTAGATTTCATTGACGTTTTATCGCGCATTCACCGTTTT